AGCGGCGGCACCCGGGGCAGCGCCGCCTCCAGCACTGCTCCGCTGCGCCCCACGGTGACAATTGGGATTCAGTTCAAACGCTCCTGCACGGCTCCGGTTTTCTTCCGCGTGTTTTGCATCGCCCTCAGCACGGAGATGCTGACAGCTGTGCTGCAGGCGGGTTCCCACGGATGGGAGCCCAGGAAGGAGCAGGAGAGCCCCGCTGGTGGAGCGGATGCCACAGCGGAGCTGGTGAGCACCAGTGTCCGTATGGGGAACGCCGGGCTGAGGACGAAGCTGCGGCTTGTTGCCGGCATCGCTGTGCTCTGCTCAGTGAGCGCAAGAATAGGGGAGAGCTGGGCCGGGCAGAGCCTCTCACTGTGAGGAATCCTTCCCAAAGGCCGTTGGCTGCTCATCGGGACGGGCAGCGGCAGTGCTGGGACCTCGCGGTGCTGCAGCACACGCGCAGGGCGATGAGTGGTGGCGGAACCCAGGAGGCTGCAGGGTGAGGCGAGGAGAGCGGGGCAGGGGAAGCGATGCTGGCTGCTGAGCGCGGCAGCCCAGAGCCGCAGGTCCCGCCGCTGGCCTGCAGGTGCGCACGGCCGGGTGCCGGAGGAGCCGTGCTGCTGTGTCCCCGCTCGCACCGCTCCGTCTCCGAAGCGACCCGCTCACGTGCAGCCGCTCCTCACCGCCTTCCCAGCAGATGATGGCCGTTATCTGATGGAGTCGCCCCCAGCGGTCGCAGCAGCGGCCATCCCAGCCGCGGGAGCAACGCTTCGCCAACGCTGCATCCCTCACCGGGGACGCTGCGCGGCCTGGCGTCGCTGCCCGCTGCCCGGCATGGAGCAGTGTGACAGCAGGGAAGGCTCCGTGGCACAGCAGCACCGCTGCTGATGGTGCCAGCACGAGGATGATTCACGCGCTGCTTTTTGTGTCAGCAGGATCAGAGCTCTTCTATTTACATCTTGCAGCAACCCTGCAAGCAATGGGATCAGCAAAAAGAGCCTTTGGGAGAGGAGCGCTCAGTGCGAGCGCTGCTCAGCGCAGCGGCACCAAGAGCAGCGATGCTGGAGGTGAGAACACCACGACCACCCTGGAACAAAGCAGGGAGGGAGAAACCACAGCGGTGCAGAGTTTTTAACCCCCATTAAAAGCACATTGGTGTCACCCCGCGCCCAGCATTGACCTCCATCCCAGGGCTGCTCCCTAACACGTGTCACCCCTGGGCAGTGCGTGGCACATGGGTGGGGGGCCCTGATTCGGGTTCCCTGGGCTGCCCTGAGGGGGCAGTGAGCAGTGGGTGGTGGTGCAGCGGACCCCATTGCCCCCCCCCAGGTGTGCAGGTGAGGTTTGTCGCCTCCTGCACGGTGAGGGCTGCACCCACTGCTCCTGGAGCTGACAGCCACCGCAGCGCAGAGCCTGAGTCACCGCGTGCCCCACGCAGCCACGTGCTGCTGCTGTTTGGGAGGCCATGGCTGCGGCTGAGCGAGTTGGAGAACTTGGGAGCTCTCTGCTCACGTCAAACAGAGCAGCAGGGGCTCAGCACCGCGAGCCGGGGCAGGGGCTGCGTGCACCTACTGTGCTCCTGGGCTGTGCTGAGCGGGGCTGGGAGCGCCGGCATGGGCAGCAAACCAACATCGGGGCTCAGTGCCACCTGAAGCACAGCACCACAGTGAGACACCAAAGGCAAAGATGGGGAACACGCAGCTCAGCTTAGGGATGTGGAGGTGGGGACCCAGTGCAGAGTGGGCAGTGGGCTCAACCCTGCAGCACCCCTGGCCTGTGGGAGGCACCGGCCCACGGCGCGGTGGGCACTGAGGTCCCTTCCAACGCAGCCGTGCCGTGGTTCTGTGATCCCAACCCACCCTGGGTGTGAAGTGGAGGGAGAAGGGCAGCGCCCAGCCCTGTGCACAGCCCTAATTCCTCTGTGTCTCCTGAATCCCAGCAGGTAAGACATTACCTGTGAGCCATTATGGGATCGCTACCGACAGATCCACGGATTTCATGGGGAAAAAAAAGGAGTGGAATGATAAACAGCAATTATGGTGCAGACAGAGCAAACCAGAGCTCTTGGCAAGCCAGTCCCATTCAAGTAACATGTATTTAAATAGTCAGAAGCATTCATCTCCCTGGCAATGAGAGCTGCAGCCCCAAGCTGGAGAAGTGCGGGCTTTGCTCGAAACCCAGGCAGGGTTTGGGAGCTGCACGTTATGCAAACATGGCGCAGAGCTGCCCAGGACGGCTGCTGGCACTGCAAGCAGGCTGGGTGCTGCAGCACGGCGTGGACACAAAGCAGGGTGGGCTCTGCGCCCACAGCACCCGATGAGGGGCTGCATGGGAAGGGACCTCGGCACCACGGAGCTGCAAACGGCGCTCAGGGGGTGGCAGACATCTGTGGCTGTGCAGCTTGTCAGGAGGGTTCAAGATGCACATGGCGGGCAGGAAAAAATTGAATCCAAAGGTTCCTCATGTCTGGAGAACAACAAGGACTCCAGCTGCTGTGGATCGCTGCACACGTGGCCCAGCAGCAGGCTGCACTGATCTGCAGGGAGGTTTGCTCTCATAGCACCTCGCAGTGCGTGCAAATCAAATCAGGAGCTTCTCCGGAACGTGGGATGTGACTGAATGGCAATCCAGCATCTCACTGCAGTGCCAACATCGTGCTGTGGGGCTGAGCTCTGCCCCCGGGCCCACACAGCCCCTCCTGCCCTCATGGCTGCGTATCCCTGCAGCCCAGACCGACCCCACCGGCACTGGTGGCACGGATGTGTCCCCACCCCAGGACCCTCAGCGCTTTGGTGCTGGCAATAGGGCTGCAGTTTGGTGAGACAGAGCTGCCTGCACAGCAGCTCCCCATGCTGCCCGGCTGGGGCTGATCCCAAAGCACAGACAGATGCACACAGCCGTGCACTGTCAGGCACACGGGCAGAACAGAGCCACGCACGCAGCCGTGCGCAGCCCCGCTCAGCCCCCCCTGCTGCTGCAGCCACCCTGCTGTCCGTGGCTGCGTTGTCCTGCTGGAGCCCTGCAGAGCACTCAGCCCTCGCAGCAGAGCTCGGACACCTTTTGCTCTGTTGTGCCACTGAGTTGTTGTTAGCAAACCATCTCCATTTGAGTTCCCCTCTGCAGGTTCGGCAGATGCCTCCTTTCCATCCCGGCCCCCCACTTCCCAGCTCTCCCCACACTCACAGACTGCAGGCACTGCAGTCTCTGCTCCCATCTGCAGCCACCCACACTGCAGGGCTGCTCTCCCACCCGTGCCGCTTGCAGCCCTGCTCTGCTCTGCTGCTCCTGCATGCAGCCCCCCCCCCCATCAGCCCCTCACTCCCACTGCCTCACTGTAGCCATCCTGGACCCTGCAGGGCTGCCGTTGTGCAGAGCTGGTGGCACTCAGGCACACCAACACTGTGTGACCATACATCCTGCAGTGTGCAACCATACGTGACTCGTTCCAGACAGGCTCGGGGCTCGGGGCCATGGGCTGCACCGGTGGGAGCAGGGAAGCAAAGCCCAAATTCGGTGCATGTACAGCAAAAGCACTGAGAGGAGCCCACGTTGTGGCAGAACAGATGGAGCGCTGAGCAGGGGGAACCACGGCGACCTGGGTGTGCTGCGGGGGGGAATGATGATGTGCCCCCACAGGCGGTGCTCACGGGGCACTGAGGGCAGCGGTTGGCTCTTCTCGGAGGTGATGGGGCTGTGCTATGGGATCTGGGAGCACCCCGAGACCTCGATGGGGGTCTGTGGTGTGGGGAGCTGCTCTGGGATCCGCATGGGGCTGATGGGGATGGGGGGCTTCATTCCCAAAGGGCTTCAAGGGGGGCTGGGACAGGCTGCAGAGAGAGCTGCTCTCATTGAGCAGCGCCTGGAGGAGTGCTGAGAAATGAAAGGAGCTTTGCAGGAGCCACACAGTGCGGTGTGAGGGCTGCAGGGAGCGCCGTGCAGCCAAGATGTAAAGAGCACAATCTGCTCAGCTCACCCAAAGGGAGACCGAGGGCGGCGGACTGAGCCGCAGAGCAGCTTTCACAGGAGAGTATCAAACGGCTCTTTAATCTGTGCAGGAAGAAAGAAAAAGCCTCAACCGCTGCGAGCTGCAGCCAGACAAATGTGCACTGAAAATGAGACACCAAGATTCATCAGGAGGTGATGAACTGCTGGGTAAAGCACGTGAAATGTGAGCAGCCACAGCAGCTCCAATGACTTCGTTCAACCACGGCCTGCGGGCTGCGCCAGCAGCTCCCTGTGTTCAGCTGCATCTCCCCAGCAATGGGGCTGTGCCATCCACACCACTGCTGTGCCATCCACACCACTGCTGTGCCATCCACACCACTGCTGTGCCATCCACACCACTGCTGTGCCATCCACATCCACTGCTGTGCCATCCACACCATTGCTGTGCCATCCACACCACTGCTGTGCCATCCACATCCACTGCTGTGCCATCCACACCATTGCTGTGCCATCCACATCCATTGCTGTGCTATCCACACCACTGCTGTGCCATCCACACCACTGCTGTGCCATCCACACCACTGCTGTGCTATCCACACCATTGCTGTGCCATCCACACCATTGCTGTGCCATCCACATCACTGCTGTGCCATCCACATCCATTGCTGTGCCATCCACACCACTGCTGTGCCATCCACACCATTGCTGTGCCATCCACATCCATTGCTGTGCTATCCACACCATTGCTGTGCCATCCACACCGCTGCTGTGCCATCCACACCCATCGCCGTGCCTTCCATTGGCACACGCACCCGACGCGTCTCATAGTCCCCAAGACTACATTTCCCAGCATGCCCCGCAGGGCTAGGCGCACATGCGCCGCAGAGCCCCGCTCCGAGCCTTTCCTTCTGGTCCTCCGCTTCCCGGCAGCTCCCGCTTGCGGCCCCGCAGGACTCTCTATCCCAGCGTGCATCGCGGCACTACCAGCGTGCACCGCGCAGGCGGAAGCGGAAGCAGCGGAACGCGGCGCGATGGCGGCCGGTGAGGGGGCCGGGCGCGGGGCGGGGCCGGGCGCGCCTCTGGGCGGCCGCGGCCCGGCGGGCTGACGGCGGCGCTCGGTGCCCGCAGGTCGGTAGTCGCCGCCATGGCGCTGATCGAAGGCGTGGGCGACGAGGTGACCGCGCTGTTCGCGCTGCTGCTGGCCGTCGCCGTGCTGGCCTTGGCCTGGGCCTCCACGCGCGCCCCCGAGCCCGTTCCGCCGCCTCGCGCCGCCGCGCCGCTGCCCGAGGAGGGCCCGAGCGCCGCCCCCGAGCCCGTCGCCCCGCACAAGGCCCCGGCCTCGGCCCCGGGCGGGGCGGGCCCCGATGGGGCGGGCGGAGCGGCGGCTGCGCTGCGGGCGCGGGGCGGCGCCGGGGCCCCCCAGCAGAGTGCGGGCGGAGCGGCGGGGGGCGGCCCCGCGGAGCCCACCATGGTGCTACGCCTCAAATTCCTCAACGACACCGAGCGGCTGGCCAGGGTGCGGCCCGGGGACACCGTGGGGGCCCTCAAGAGGTGAGTGGCGGGCGGGGAGGGCGCGTAGTGCGGGGACAGTGCGGGGCGGGAAGTGGGTGACGGTGTAGAGACACTGCATGAGTGGTGAGTGACACCACGGGGACGGGGGGTGAGCGGTAGGTGACAGCCGGTGGAGTGACAGGGGTGTGAGGTGAGTAGTAAGGAACATCGTGGGGTCACAGAAGGAGCTGTGGGTGACAGCCTGGGGATGTGAGGTAAGCGGTGGGTGACAGTGCAGAGGCATGAGGTGAGTGTTGGGTGACACCTGGGGACATGGGTTGTGTGGTGGATGACGGCCTGGGGCGTGAATAGAACTGTAGGTTACAGAGTGGGTCAACAGAGCCTGATGTGGGTAATATTACAGGGTCAGCCTGGACACGTGGAGTGAGCTGTAGGTGACACAGGATGGCTTGTGGGTAACGGTGTTGAGAACACAGCGTGAGGTGTGGGTGAGAGTGCAGGGACACCAAGACAACTGTGTGTGACAGCCTGAGGACATGGGGAAAGGCGTAGGTGACAGCAGGGGGCACCGAGTGAACGGTAGGTGACGCTCCTGTGGATACGGGGAGAGCTGTGGGTGACGCTGCAGGGACGCGGTGCGAGCTGTGGGTGGCACTGTGAGGACGTGGGACGAGCAGTGGGTTATGCTGCAGGACGTGGTGCGGGCACAGCACCGCGGTTCTGGGCAGTCCCGGAGGTGGGCGTGGGGTTGGTGCCATCTGCACATGATGTGATGTCCCCTGTCCACAGGACCTACTTTCCCGGGCAGGAGCAGCAGGTGCGGCTCATCTACCAGGGCCAGCTGCTGCGTGACGATGCCCAGAGCCTGGCAGCCCTTCACCTGGCACCCAACAGCGTCCTGCACTGCCACATCTCCCAGCACAGCCCTGCCCCTGCACCCGCCGGCCCCCGCGCCTCCGCCGACCCCGTGCACACCGCCCTCAACGTGGGCAGCCTGATGCTGCCGCTCTTCGTGCTGATGCTGGCCGTGCTCTGGTACTTCCAGCTGCAGTACCGCCACGTCTTCACCGCCACCGCCACCACCTTCCTGGCCGGCCTCACCCTGCTCTTCAGCTTCATGGCCTTCACCATGTACCGCAGATAGCGCTGCCCCGCACCCCGACTGGAACCGCCCCCCACTCTCGCGCTGCGGTGCTCAGGGTTCTGCTGCTGCTCCAGAACTCGAGGGGTGTTGGCTATGTCCCGGTGCTTCAGGGGCTGCTCACAGCCAGCACGGAGTTGGCACGGCCCCGGTGCTGCCCTCAGCCCTCTACCACCGCCGGAAGCCCTCCGCGCACGGGGCGAGGCACGGAGTTGCACCGCAGGGCACCGAGCAGAAGGGGGGGGACGCAGCGCCCCGTGAGCCCCCAGGTGCCTGCTGCCCGCGGCTGCGAGCCCTGCGGGGGTCAGGGGCTACCGGCCCGTGCTCGGGGCTGGGCCCTCGGTGCCGTGAGCATGTGCTCGGCCGTGCTTCTTTTAAGATTAAAAAGGAAGAAAACTGTGGATGCTCCAAACGCTGCTCTCTGTGTTCTGTGCGCGAGGAGGCGGGGGGAGCTGGGAGGAACGGGGGGCGGGGGCGGCGCTCGGGCCGTTCGGCCCCGCTCGGACATGCGCACTGGGGCGGGGCGGGGCCCGCGCCTGGAGCCACGCGTCCGGCCGGGCAGTAGTGCGCATGCGCCCGTAGCCCCGGCTCCGCCCCCGTCACGGGACTGCCTCTCATTGGGCGCCGCTCGGCGGCTATTTGCATACTACGCTCCGGCTCCGCCCCCGGAAGTGCGTGCCGCGCGGGGGCGGTGCCGAGGCCTCCCTGCCGGCGCGGGGGCTGTCGGGAAGATGGCGGACTCGGTGTCCGGGCGGCGCTGAGCGGCCGGGGCGCGGCGGGTCCCAGCGCGGCCGCGAGCGCCATGTAGGCGGGGCTCGGAGGGAGGGGCCGGGGCGGCGAGGCGGGGCGGGGGCCGGGGGGCCGGGGAGGGGGCCGGACGGGCGCTTCGGGGATGGGGTCGGGGGTCCCGGTACCGGGCGGGCGCGGCGCCGCTCACGAGGGCCTCGGTCCGCTCGGCGGGCCCGGAGCGGGCCGAGATCCGGGGCCGGGCGGCGGGAGGGAGGGCCGAGGGCGGCCCGGGGATCCCGGCGCGGCGCGATCCGGGTTCGGATCCGGGCTCAGGCGCGGGGCGGAGTTCCGGCGCCGCCCCCTCTTCAGCCCCGCTCTCCCTCGCAGGGTCCCCCGGTCCCGCGGAGCCCCCCGCGCCGCCCCGCCCGCGCCATGCTGCGCCTGCTGCCATGGCTCCGCACCCTGAGCCGCCGTCGCGCGCGGCCCGGCAGCCCCCGGGGCCCGGCTGAGCGCAGCGGGGCCGCCATGCATCCCGCCTGCTACTGCGCGGGCAGGGCCAGGCCGCGCGCACTGCTGCTCCCGCTGGATCCCTACGGCCATGGGCTGCTGCACGCCCTGCCCCCGGACGCCTGCAGGATTCGCGGGCACGGCAAGAGGAAGAGCTGGAACTTCATCCACGAGAAGATGAGCTACGACACCTTCTTCACCATGAAGCGGCTGATCGAGCGCTCGCGCAGCGTGGGCGAGGTGCTGCGCTGGGTGACGCAGAACCCCGGCAAGGTGTCGGCCAGCCATTACCCCATCGCCCTGCACAAGCTGGGCCAGCTCCTGCAGCAGCAGCAGGGCCCGGCCGCCCTCAACGGGGAGAGCCGGCGGCCCGGCCCGGTGCTGGAGCAGCCCGAGTTCCAGACGCTGTGCCAGGCCATCATCAGCGGCTGCTCCAAGTTCGATAACTTCAGCATCGTCAACTGTCTGTACGCTGCTGCCGCGCTGGGTGAGTGGCCCGGGCACGGGGCGGCGCCGAGGGCTTCCTGTGGGAGCGCAGGGTTCCGTGCTCTGGGCGTGTGGAGCAGAGTCGCGTCTGTTCTGAGTGTGAATCTCAACCCGTGCTGCTCCATGCGGGTGGCACCGGGCCGTGCTGCACAGCTCTGCCTGGGGCTGTGGAAGAGCGGCCTGCCTGGCTCCTGTCCTGAGACGTGCGGGTTGTCTGATGGCTCCTCTCTGGGAGAGAGCGTTCCCGCAGCCTGTGTTCCTTGCTGTGCATCGCAGAGCCTTTCTGGCCCCTGGCAGCGTGCTGAGGGCTCCTCGATAGCCTCGTTAAAGGCCCTACGCTCCCTCCCACCTCTCCGGAGGGGATTATGCTTGCTGGCTGCCTGTGGCAGCGGGTGCCCGGCCCCCAGCCCAAGCCTTCCTTCCAGTCCTGTGCCCCTGACGTCCCACGCTGATGTTCCCTGCCGCTGCCTTTGCCTTTTCATAGCGGCAGCTGCGTGCCGGGCTGAGGTCTGTGCCGAGCTGCACGGAGCTGAGCTGCCTGCGCCCTGCTGGGGGCTGAGGCAGTAACTCGAGATCCTGCTGAAGGTGGGGGGGAGGGGAGGTCCTGCTCCCCCCGGCAGCGCTTTGTGTTTGTTAACTCCGCGCCTCTCCCCGAGCTGGGCTCCCCCGGCCCGCTCTGGTTTTGACCCACACTTTGTTCCCCTGCCTCGCCCTCCCCGCTCCCCATGGGCTCCAGCTCATTAATAAAAACGCTCACCCGCCTTTCGGAGGCCTCCTAAGGAACAAAGCAACTGCTCAGACCAATTCTTCACTTTCCACCTTCTGACTGATTTCTGATGAACGATAAAACGCAGCGACTTACCCCATGCTGCCTTGGTTTCTTTAAAGCCCTTTTAAACATCGGAGTCTCCTCGTCTGGCTCGGGTGAGCAGTGGGCTACTGGGGCCTCATAGGGCGCGCAGAACGCTTCATGGCTCTGCTGAGGATATCTCTCCTGACACACGAGCCGTGGCCTTTGCCTTTTTTCATAACCACACTGCACACGTGGCCTCTCGTCTTTCTGTGGTTGAATAATGCGTCCAGAGTGAGAGAAAGGTATTTCCCCCAGGAGCCCAATCTGAAAGGCCGCAGCTAAGCTGGAAAACACGGGGAGAGGGAGTTAGAAATGTGGAAAGATAAACTCCTGTCACACACGGCAGTTCGTGTTTCAGCCCTGTGTTGACACTCCGTTTGTCTTCCAAACAAAACACTTCTTTAAAGCGCTTTGAGATGCATTATTCCTCCTCACAAAGACCCGGACCTGAAAATGAAGTCTTATTTTTGTGGATAAACCAAAGGGCTTCTGCTGCGGTGGAATGGCTGCCAGCAGAGCGATGTGCTGCTGTGCTGGCGTTCTGGCCTGGCCTTCTTGATAGGACAAGGGGGAATGGTTTTAAAGTGAGACAGGGGAGGTTTGGGTTGGATGTGAGGAGGAAGTTTTGGAGGCAGAGGGTGGTGAGGCACTGGCACAGGTTGCCCAAGGAGGCTGTGGATGCCCCATCCCTGCAGGCATTCAAGGCCAGGCTGGATGTGGCTCTGGGCAGCCTGGGCTGCTGGTTGGCGACCTGCACACAGCAGGGGTTGGAACTGGATGAGCATCGTGCTCCTTTGCAACCCAGGCCGTTCTGTGATTCTCACCTCTGTTTTATCTTTCTCTCTCCTCTGACTCCCCCCATCACCAACCTGTCCCTGGCACCGTCCCTTTTGCAGAGGTGCTTTTGGGGTCCTTAATGCTGTCCTTTTGCTGCAGGGCTGCCCGGGGAGTCCCCCCTGGTGCGGGTGCTGGAGGACGAGTCCCGCAACCGCCTGGGCCGCTTCAACCAGAAGGACGTCTCCATGGTGTTCAGCAGCGTGATGCGCCTGCACCCCTCCAGCCCTCACCCCCTGGTCGAGTCGTGCCTCAGCAGCTTGGAGCGGCACCTGGAGAAGGAGCGGCACCCTCAGACCCTCTTCCTGCTGCTCTCCTATTATCGGCTGCGGGCGCAGGCCCTGCAGGGCCACCCGGCCTCCGACCAGCAGCTCATCAACAACCGTAAGATCCTGCGCCTGGTGCGGCACACGCTGGGCCAGGTGAGCGCCATGCGGGAGCACGAGCTGGCCCTGCTGGACGAGATGCTGGCCCTGTGCGCCCAGGAGGCCAACAACAAGGCGCTGGAGGCCATCTTCAGCTCGCAGCTCTTCTATGAAAACCGCCAAGAGCGATTCATCCGCAGCATGGCAGGTGAGGGCAGTGTGGGGGGAGACTGCTGGCTGCACCTTGCTGCGCCCATGCGGCCCTACGGCTCCTTCCCAGACCCTGGAGCTGCTGGGGTTGTCCAGCGCTGCGCAGAGTCCTGCCCTGCAGTGCAGGCAGGAGGTGCTCTGTGTGATGCCCCCCTCGGTGCCCCTTCCAGCACCGTGAGCCCACCTCGCCTTGGGGTGGGCAGCGGGTTGGTGTCCGTGGGGTTGCTGTGGAATCACACTCCGTGTGCTTTCCCACTGCTCTTTAGCTGTGCCACGTGGTTCACACGGCAGGGATCTGCCCTCCTGCCCGCAGCCCCGCACCCTGCCGCGTGCTGCGGAGCCGCCTGGGTTGTGGCTGCATCGCCTCCCTCTGACCCACACTGCGGCCCCTTCTGGAGAGCAGCGCTCCAGGCAGGGCCTGAGCCCCGGCTGTGCTTTGCCGTGCAGAGTGGCTTCCCAGGAAGGCCGAGAACCTGACGCCCTACACCATGGCCCTCATTGCCAAGTACGTGGCCCGGCACCGCCTGCGGGAGCCGCGCCTGCTCGACACCATCGCAAACTTCCTCCTGAAGCGCGGGGAGCAGCTGGACAGCAAGGTGGGTGAGCTGCGTGCCCGGCCAGCTGCCGCGGTGCCGGGGGAGCTCAGCTCTGCGTCGCCGCGCGCTTCCAATCCCGCCGCCACCAGCCCGACTCCTCCTTTGGCCGCAGGTGATCCAGAAGCTGGTGTTTCCCTTCAGCCGGATGAACTACCGCCCGTCCAACCACAGCGAGCTCTTCCCCAAGCTGGAGGCCATCCTGGAGCAGAAAGCGGGCAGCTCGCCCCTGGCCACCGTCAACATCCTCATGTCCATGTTCCAGCTCAGCCACTTCCCCCAGTCTGTCCTGCATCAAGTCTTCTCCCCGGCTTTCATCACCAACGTTATGAGTACGTCGGGCTCTTCCCAGGGTAAACGCGGCAGTTGGGGCACGGCGGGTCGGAGGCGGCTCCGGATGGGGCGGCGCAGCCCCCCGGGGTGCGGGGCGGGCGGCCTGGGGGGTGAGGGGCGGCCCGGGCCCCCTCCAGCCGCCCGCCCCTCCCGCAGGCAGCCCCTACGCGCTCATCGTGCGCCGCTACCTCTCTCTGCTGGATGCCGCTGTGGAGTTGGAGTTCCGTGATTACAGCGGCCCCCGCCTCGACCCGCGCTACCGCGTCCTCATGTTCGAGCACGCGCTGACCGCCGACGAGGCCAACAGGAAGTACAGGTGAGGGGGGCAGGGGGTGCGCCGGCGCCCGGCCCTCGTGCAGGCGGTGACCCCCCGGTGTTGCCGGGGATGTGAGGTGCAGACGTGGCTGTGGGCACGAGCTGGAGAGCTGGGCGGGGAGGAACCTGATGAGGATCAGCGGGAAGATGAGCGATGGCGGCAGTGGTGCAGGTTGGGAGCTGAGCTGCTGGGAAGGAGCTCTGCAGATAAGGACCTGGGGGTTGTGGTGGCCGACAGGCAACCAGCAGTTGGCCACAGGCTGACTGTGGACCAGCAGGGTGTGCTGGTGGCCAAGGAGGCCTGGGATGCAGTGCAGAGAGTGGCCAGAGGGGTGAAGGAGGTGATCCCCCCTCCACCCTGCCCTGGGGGGGCACGGCTGGAGCAGCGCACCCAGCGCTGGGCTGCCCAGATCCAGGCAGATGGGAACTGCTGGAGGAACCCAGGGGAGGATGCAGAGATGGTGGGGCCTGGAGCAGCTCCTGGTGGGGCCTGGGAGAGCCCTGGTGTGTGGAGGAGAGAAGGCTGAGGGACCTGAGCGGTGCTGAAGGGAAGGGCAGGGGAGGGGGCCGGGCTCCGTTTGGTGGTGCTGGACGCCAGGACGAGGAGCAGCGGGCGCAGACTGCAGCCCAGGGAGTTGATCTGAACGTGAGGAGGAATTGCTGTGCTGTGAGGGTGGCAGAGCCCTGGACCGGAGCCCAGAGAGGTGGGGGAGTCTCCTGTGGAGATCCCAAACCCTTCTGGACGCCGTGCAGCTGCTGAAGGAGCTGCTGTGGGGGGATGGAGCGGGGCGGCTCCAGAGGTGCCTCCCAAGCCCCGCAGCTCTGGGATGCTGTGGTCAGCAAGGGGCCGGGCTGGGGCTGTGGGGTGCTGGGGTTGGGCCGCGTCCCCTCCTGCGGGTCCCCTGACTGCTTTCCCCCTCAGTTACAAAGGGCTGGTGGCTGAGGCGCTGCGGCAGCTGGTGGGGGAGGAGTGCTACCGGCAGGACGAGGTGCTGCCCCCGGGGTACTGCACAGGTAGGCTGCCGGCACCCAGCGGGGGGTTGTGCTGCCCGGGGGGGGGGGGGGGTCAGGGCAGCAGAGCTCTGCGTTTTGGGGATGCGATTCGGGCCCGCCGCTGACCCCGGCGCTTCCTCCGCAGACTTCCTGCTGTGGATTAACCGCTCGGGCACGGTGCTGCCCCTCTCCCGCGTCCCCGCAGCCTCCAAGGCCCCCCCCGCCGCCCCCCCCGCCGCCGTCTCCCTGCGCTCCAGCGTCCTGGCGCTCACCTCGGACTTGCAGGACTTTGCCCCCTTTGCTCCGGAGCCCCCCGGCAGCCCCCCGGCAGCGCGCCGGGAGAACAACCTGGCGGGGCGCTTCCTGTCCACGCTCTGCCCGGCCCCGGGGGGGCCCTGCTACCAGCCCCCCTCGGACTATTACTGCGCCCTAAGCAAAGAGTCTTCCCTGGAGAGCCAGGGCAGCTCCACGCTCAGCAGTCCCTCCGAGTGCCTCTCGGCGCAGCCCGCCGGCACCCCCGACTGCTCCCCGCGGGGCTCCTCCGCTGCCACCCTCTTCCAGTTCCCCATCGGGAAGATCCTGGAGGAGGAGGCGGCCGCCTGCCCCGGCCGCGAGCGCTCCTGCTTCCAGGGGGAGCAGCCCCACGAGGAAGCGGAGGGCCGCAGCCCAGCCCCGGCCGAGGACGCCCGCCCTCCGCCCTCGCCGTGCCGGCCCGGCCCGGCCCGGGGTCCCGCCGAGGGGCCGCCAGCGGCCGACGACATTCAGAGGTACCGAGAGGAGCTGCTGCGCGTGTTCCCCCCCCCCCCCCCCCCCCCCCGGACTTCCGAGAGGAGAGGCGCCCCTTCTGCAGCCCGGGGGGCTCCTCGGCCTCGGCCCGCAGCGCGGGGTGACGCCGCCCCCCTCCCACCGTCCCGTCCCTGCAGGGTGGTGCTGTCGGTCAACGACAAGTGGCATTACTGCCAGAACTCCGACATCCTGGTGGGCTCACGCGCCATGCGGGACCGGCATCTGCGCCTGCTGGGCTACTGTCTGGTGCAGGTGAGTGCGGGGCCGGGCGGCGCGGGGGGCGGCAGCTCGGAGCTGGGAGCGTCCCCTCCGTTCCTCCTCCTGGGCGCTCACCGGCGTTACGGGCGCAGGTCGTGCCGTAAAGCGCAGCTTAAAGCTCCTTACTGCCCTCCTGCTGGCGGCCGCCGTGCCGGGCAGCTGCGGGTTTTGTAACCGATGGCGGATGTGGCTCAGAGCTCCTCGCGGCGCTGGGATCCTGAGCACCGCGGGGGGGACGGGAGCGGGGCTGCGGGGAACGGCACGGAGCTGAGCGGGGGGTGGGGAAGGGCTGTGCACGGAGGGCGGTGGGCACGGAGCAGCACAGCCCTGAGCTGCCGGAGCTCGTGGAGCCTCTGGGCAGCGCTGTGAGACACGGGCTGGCGCGTGGTTCTGTGCTGGGGGTTGGACTCGGTGGCCCCTGCGGGTCCCGTTGCTGTGGCTCCGTTGGCTGCTCCGTCCCTCCCCCACCGCTGTATGCAGCGCTTCTGGTTTGCAGTCTGCTGCCGGCTCGGCCCTGTGCCGCAGTGACACACAGCTGTGGTTTCATTTGTGGTTCCAGAGGTCCCTCCTTGCTCTGTTTGGTCATCCTTTGCAAAGAGCCCGAGGCTCTTTTAACTTCTTGCGGAAGCTGCTCCACACTCAGCTGTTCTCGCTCTCCTTGCTTGTCCCTGCCGGCTTGCTCAAAGGAGCTGTGCTGCAGCCTGGGACACCCGCGGGGCTCATGGGGGTGCCCCCAGCCCACCCTGCTGGGCCAGGAGCTCCGTGGGACTCCAGGCTTCCTCCCCACCCCTTCAGGGCCCTTCCTGCCGTGCTGTTTCTCATCGGGCCGCTCCCTGGCAGCGGCTCCTGTGCTTTACAGTGCAGCAGCTGCCTTAGCGGTTCCCCAGGGCTGTGCTTTTCTCACATTTCCTGGGAGGGAGGTGGAAGTGTCCCCTCGTGACCCTGAAGCTGCACGGGGCCCAATGACTCAGAGCTCCGCTGCAGTGCCGTGTGGGGCTGAAGGGAGGCCTGCTCTGCTGGAGGCTGCGGGGTGGGAGGCTGCGGGATGCTGCCCTGGTGCTGCTCTCTGCCCCTGTTCTATGGGCACGGCGCTGGCAGCCATCCCATAAGGTGGCTCTTATCCTTCCTCATCTGCTGGTGCCCCTTGTCTGTGTGCAGCCGTGCCCCAGCAGCAGTTCCCCGGGGCTGGAATTCCCCTCGTCATTCTGCAGTCTCCCTTTGCAGACGCGTGGAGCAGCCCTGGGCTCCCCCAGCTCCTCGTGCTGGAGTAGGGACTGCCTTTAGTCCCTCGTGCAGGGGCTGTCGGTGTGATTTTGGGTCCTCCCTTTGGGCGCTGCGTGCCGGGCCCCAGGCAGGGCGCCGCAGGGGGGCCGTGGGGAGGCTGCAGCCCTGCCCGGCTCCGCGGGGATGAAATCGGGACGTGCGGCACCCGGGAGGCAGAGCAGAGCGGGGACTGCGGGGCAGCGAGACCCCAGCCGAGGACGGCAGCACTGACAGCCCTTGAAGGCGGTGCCGAGGCCCGTTTCTCCCCCGGGACACGGCAGGTGGCCGCCCCCGTCCCCAGGGCCGGCTGTCCTCCACAGTCTGTGCCGGGCCGGGGGGAGGGGGGCCGGAGGCAGCTTTGGGGAACGGCGGCGCGCGGCTCCACGCTGACGCTTGTGTCCCTTTGCAGCTGCCCTACACGGAGCTGGAGAAGGTGAGTGGCATCGAGGAGGCCAAGCATTACCTGCGGCAGAAGCTGAGGGAGCTGCGATTCTGAGGGGCTCAGCCCAGCCGGGTGGGCGCTGGGGGGGCACGGAGCCCCCGGCCCGGGGGGGGTGGGAAACGGAGCTGCCCCCAACCGGGGGCACGGCCGTGCGGGGCCGAGGTGGTGCGAGATATTTATTGCCGATAGGGTGGGGAGGGGGCGCGAGCGGTGTGCGGGGGGAGCGAGGGGATGTGTGGGGCTGGGGGCCCTCAGCCCCGGGCCCGGGGTCACCGCAGGGGCCTGGCGTTCCTGGGGGTCCCCGACACGCTGCTGGGGAGGGGGGGGCTGCGCCTGGCCCCCCAGGGCTGTGACAGCCACGCATTGGGGATGCTGCGGGGCCGGGCGCGGGTGGAGAGGGGGGCGCTTGGGAAGCGGGGAGAACTTTACAATAAAACCGGTGAAAAGTGTGCAAAGTCCGTTCTCTTTATTGGCGTGGGGCAGCGCCCCGCCTGCGGCCCCTGGGCGGCCGGGGGGCTCGACGGCAGCGCTCCCCGACCCCCTGGGCTGCCGGCAGCCGGAGGGGCTCAGCTCCCCTCAGCCCACCGCGCTCGTAACGCCGTTTATTGCCATCGGGGTCACCCCGTTAAAGAAAAGCGGGGTTCTGGAAACACCTGATCGTCGGGTGGGAGCGCGGGGCCGGGGCGGGGCGCGGACCTGCGGCGCTGCAGGGTGGCGGTGGGGGGGGCTCCGCCCCACGGCACGGTCGGGACGCGGCCGAGGGACCCCCGACCGCGGCGGAGGCGAGCGGGGCCGGCTGGGCTGCGGGCCGGCTTCTCTTTGGCGGAGCCCCGAAGGCGCGGGGTGCCGGGCACGGTCGTACGTGGGGAGCCGGCCGTGCCCGGCGCGCTGTCTGGCCGCGGGGCTCAAACCGGCATCGGCATCTCGTTGTACTCATCCACGCCTTCCCGTTCGTCCAGGATCGGCTCGGCTTCGTCCGCATCCAGCTGGGGAGGTGCGGGGTGAGAGGCGGCGGGGGCTGCGCCCGGCGCCCCCCAGAGCCGGGCGGGTACTTACACACTTCATCTCGCGGTCGGTGAAGATGCGGCTCAGCAGGCACATGCGGAGTGGCACGGTGAGGATGAGGATGAAGGGGAAGGCCAGGGACGCCACGGTGGACATGACGGCCCAGAGCACGGCCAAGCATGCCAGCTGCAGCCCGGTGAAGAGGTGCATGCGCAGCGTGCGTACCTGCATGGGGGCGGGCGTCAGGGCGCGCGGGACCCTGCGTCCCCCCTCCCCCCTTCCTGCGCCCTCCCTGCCGCGTGGCTCCCCAGCCCGCACTGCGGCCCTAAGCGAGGCGCCCCGCTACACCCAGCCCTGCCCCGGCCCCGGCCCCCCCCGCAGGGCACGGCCTCTCCCACCCCCAGAGCGGCCCCGGGACCCTCCGACCTTTTTGACATAGGGGACATCGGGGTGGTGCTTGGGGGGCATCAGCAGCAGCTGCAGGCGCTCGTAGAACTGGATGCCGTTCAGGGAGGTGACGCCCATATAGAGGAAGATCCCGAAGAGCACAGCCAGCGGGATCTGGCGCAGCAACTCCCCGATGACGATGGACAGCCCTGAGGACGGGGGGGGGGGGAGGGTCGGCAGTGGCGTGCAAGCAGGAAACGGCGGAGCCCCGCGGCCACGTCCCGGCAGGCACCTACCGACGAGCACGGCCACCAGCAGCCCGGTGACGCGCTGCTCCTTCACCTCCTGGATCTTGTGTTTGTCCCCCGGCGCCACCGCCTTGCTCATGACGGTGAGGGCGTTGGCGTGCGTGACGGAGCGCACGGTGGCGGCGGCGAGCCAGGGCAGCCCGAAGAGAGCGAAGAATCCTCCCATGGCCACGATGAGCAGCAGGTCGAGGTGGAACCCGGAGCCCTTCTGCAGCATCCGCTCCTTCTTGCTGATGATCAGCCTGGGCACAAGGGCGGACTGTTGGCGCGGGTGGGCACGGCTCAGCACGGCACAGCTCAGAATGGCTCGGCATGGCATAGCTTAGGATGGCACGGCACAGTTTGGCAAGGGTCAGCACGGTATGGCACGGCACGGGTCGTCCTGACATGGAATGGCGGTTTGGCAAGGCTCAGCACTATGAGGCACGGCTCAGCATGGCCCAGGCGGGCATGGCTCAGCATGGCACGGCACGGCACGGCATGGCACGGTTTGGCACGGCGCGGCAGAGCAGAGCAGGGCACAGCACAGCTTGGAATGGCTCAGCGTAGCTCAGCACAGCACAGTTTGGCCCGACGAGCGCAGCACGGCACGGCGCAGCTCGGCACGGCGCTCCCAGCCCTGTGCACGTCCCAGCCCGGCCCCGCTGCGCTCACGTGGTGATCTGCGTCTCCATGAAGATGAGGATGAAGACGAGGACGGCGGGGAGGCCGCTGGCCACCATCATCCACACCGGGAAGTCGCTCCTCTCGCCCAGCGGGTTGATCACCCAGCCCCGCTTATCGGGCGCCGTCACCGAGAACCCGCTGGGCACGCTCAGCTTCTGCAGGGCGCAGGAGGCTGTGGGGTCACCGGCTCCCACGGGGAGAGGGCTGCCCCCATCCCACAGCGGGGACCCCTGCAGCGCCCAACCCAAAGGGCTCCAGGCCCAGATAGCGGGGGGCAGCATCCCACGAGGGGCTGGGGGAGCGCGTGGGGGTCCTGGGCGCTGACCTGCGTGTAGGTGTCGCGGATGCTGTAGTCCACCAGAACCATCACCAGGATGGCGATGGGCACCCCGAAGTCCCCGATGAGGCGCCGGATCTGTTGGAAGGACGGAGTCAGCCCGGCCCCGAACCCCCCGACCACCCTTGGGCTCTCTGTGCCCCCAAAGCAGGGCTCACCCCGTGCCCACGCCGCCGTCCCGCCTGCCCCACGCACCCGTCCAGGGAAGAAGCGGCTGTTCTTGAACTTGCGCAGGAAGAAGGCGATGAAGAAGGTGCCGGCCATGAGCACCAGGGAGAGCAGCGCCGTGTTGGGCTGCCCCGTCACCTTGGTGGCCCCGCGCTGCTCCGTGCCGTTGGGTGCCGCGGTGCCGTTGCTCCACACCGTGCCGTTGGGCTGAGCGCAGCCGTGCAGGGGGTGCTCCTGGAAGATCTGTGCAGTGCGGGGCGTCAGGAGCATCCTGGCCCCGCAGCACCCGCAGCACCCACAGCACCCACAGCTCACCTTGCCCAGCTTGGAGAAGGTCTCGTAGATGAAGATGAGGGAGATGAGGAAGGAAAAGATCTCCTGGGTGAAGCGCGAGACGAAGCGCACCAGGAAGCTGCCCTCGCAGGCCACCATCAGCAGCACGATCAGGATGAGCCAGAAGCCGATCCACACGCGCCCCACCAGGTACTCCAGCCCGTTGGATGTGCAGAACTGCAGCACAGACGGGGTGAGCGGGGGCGGCCATAGGGACCCCACAGCCGGGAGCAGCCCCTGCCCACCGTGAAGAAGGCCTCCTCGAAGACGAGCAGCGGCCCCGAGAAGCCAATGATGAGCAGGGGCTGCGCACCCAGCAGGCAGAACAGCACGCCCTGCAGCGACGTGGAGATGATCAGCTCTGACACCCCGATCAGGCCGTGCGTCTTCTCCCCTGCGGAAAGCATGGGGTCAGAAAAGGCCCGTGGGGTTGGGCCAAGGCCCCTCACTATGCACCGCACTCCTCCGTGCCGCGCAGCGCCCTGCACAGCTGCATAGGGCGCCCTGCACAGCTCCATAGGGCGCTCTGCACAGCTCCATAGGGCGCCCTGCACAGCTCCATAGGGCGCTCTGCACAGCTCCATAGGGCGCTCTGCTCCATCCCCACACAGCGCTGCCCCATCCGGATGCACCCCACGCCCGTGCTCACCCAGCAGCCCCCCGAAGGTGATGGCCGGGGACAGAGCGGCGAAGTAGATGAAGATGACGGCGGCGATGCACTGCGGGTTCAGGGCGTCCCTGAAGTCGCTCAGGTAATGGGGGTATCGGCGCCGCACGTCCCGGATCAGCCCCCCGAAGGGCCGCCCCGTGCGCCGCAGGGGATCGTCCTCATCCTCATCCTCAGCCACCTTCAGCTTCAGCAGCGCTGCATCCGGATGGACGGACAGATGGACGGTCGGCCCCGGCCACCCCACGCCCGCCCCGCCGTGCCCCAGCCCACCTTTCTCCTCGGGGGATTTGGGCTCCAGCAGCAGCCTCCTCTCCTGCTCCTCGCGTTTCTTCAGCATCTCACGCTGGAAATGTGCGACGCTGCGCAGCAGCTCCTCGCCCTGCACCTCGGAGGGCGGCAGCACCACGCTGCAGTCCAGGAACTCGTTGATGGCCGTCAGCAGGTCGTGCCGGTCGTCCGCCAGGTAGGCGGCCTCGTGGAATTGCTGCGGGCAGAGGGGTCAGGGCGGGCGGCTGGGCACCGGCGGCCAGGGGGGACAGGAGTGGGAACAGGGCACAGGGATGGGAATGGAAACGGGGCACGGGGAGGGCGCTGCGGGCAGGCGGTGGCACCCACCTTGTCGGACATGAGGGTGGAGATGGAGCGCCCGATCTCATGGTAGTCCATGTGGGTGCTGCTAGGGCCCAGCAGCACGAAGAGGAAGCGCACGGGGACGGGGACCTCCAGCACCGAGTCCAGCTCCACCGCCTCCTGCAGCCGCACGAAGGCCATGGTGGGCTGGTCCAGGAACTCCACGCAGCCTGCGGGGCGCAGCGCTCAGCACGGGGCGCCATGGGGTGCACAGCACACAACCCCCCCCCCCCCAGCCACCCCTCCGTACCCACGAGCACCACGGTGGCCTCGGCGTCGTCGGGGATCTTCTCCAGCAGCTTCAGCTCGTGCTTGGACTTGGAGCGGGTGATGCCGGCAGGGGGCGCGGGGGGCGGGACCTCACGCTGCGGGCACGGGGTCAGCGGTGCCCGAGGATGAGGAGCGGCGGCGGAGGGGGGGGGGGAAGGGGGAGGAAGGGCTGCTCACCTCCCGCTCCACGTCCACGCGCGTGTCGTGCTCAGCACCGTGCCCGGCGATGAGGGGCTCGGTGACGGCCGGCTCTCCGCCCTCAGCCACGTGGTTGGTGCTGTGGTGGTGCACCAGCAGCGAGCCCAGGCTGCCGGCTGAGATGTTCCGGGGGAACGAGAACTCCTTCTCGTCGCTCGGGTGGCTGCAGACGGGCGCAGAGCTGCGTGCGGAAGCCAAGCGCCCTGGCCGGAGCCTCCCAGCGCCGCGCGGCCCCGGCCCCGCACCCACCTGTGCTTCAGCAGCAGCGCACGCAGCACGTTGGCGCGGTCCTCAGCCCGGATCTGGTCGGTGATGACCATCTGCTCCACCACCTGGTGGGCCACGCCCGGCAGCGTCTTCTGGTCCAGATCCAGCAGCACGGCGCCTGCGGGGCAGCGGGCTGAGCGGGGACCCCCCTGCGCGCACCCCCGAGGGTCGGCGCCGCGCCGTACCGTGGGACAGCGTCTTGCGCAGCTCCAGCAGGCTGCGGAAGGACAGCGAGGCCACGTGAGGTTTCCCCCAGCGGTCCGTCTCCTCCTCCACGTCCTCCTCAAACTTGATCCAGCGCGCCGTCTCCTTCCACTGCAGCTCCTGGTTCTTGTCCAGCACCAGCTCGTTCAGCTCCACGAACACCTGCGGCGGCGCGGTTCGGTGGGTGCCCCGCAGCACGACGCGGGGCGGATCCCCCCTTTTCCCCCCCGGGACCCCCGTCCCGGTACAACCCACCTCGTGGGGCTGCCGGTCCGACCTGCGCGGCCGCGCGCTCTGCTCGCGGTGCTCCTTACCGACGTGCACCACCTGCGCCTTGGCGCTCTTCCGCACCAGGTGCCGCCGCACGCCGGGCACGTCTTCAAAGCGGTGACCTGCGGCAAGGGGAAGCGGCGGGCGGGTGGGCGAGGGTGGCGGGCGCAGCACCGCGGGACGGGGCGGGCAGCGGGGAGGAGAACCCGGGCACCGCCGGAGCGAGGGCGGCCGCTCCGGGAAGCGTCGTTGAGGCGCACGCGGTGCCGGAGGGCTCCGAGCCGCGACTACGGGGCGCTCTGGGGAGGCGCCGCCGCCACTTCCCGCTCCACGCGCCCGGCCCCGCATCCCCGCACGAGGCCTCGCTCGCCCCGCGCACCGCTCCGGGCCCCCCGGACCCCACCACCCCCGGGGCGCGGGCGCCGCACGCACTCTTCATGTAGTCGAGGTCGGCCGATGCCAACGTCTGCGCCTCCGATTCGTCCGTGGGCACCTTCTGGTACTGCGCCTGCTCCGCGCCCGTCATGCTGCCGATGCGGCGCCGCTCGTGCAGGTTGTAGCTGCGGTGCCCGGGCTGCGCCCTGCCCGCGGGGCGCCCGGGGGAGCCGCCATCCTCGGGAACGGCGCTGCCCTCGGCTGCACGGCCCTCCTCGGCGCCGGGGCTGCAACACACAGCACAGCCATCCCGCACAGCCCGTGGCACGGGACCCGGCGCTGCGCACAGCCGCGGGGCGCGGCACAGCCTCCGCTCACCTGGCTGCCGGGGGGGCCGGGGCTCCGTGGGGCTCCGCCGTGGGGCCGGGTGGCGCAGGGGGGGCCGGAGGCTCCTCCACACGGCGCTCGGTCACCTCGTCCTCCTGCAGGAAGAACTGCACCGAGAGGCGTGGCACGGCCAGGAGCGGCCCCGCGCCCCGCGGCCCCGCGCCGCCCCTACCTGCACCCCCTCGGCGGGGCCGCCCCGCAGCTCCTCGGCCGAGCGCTCCGTCTCGGTGTCGCACGCTTCCTCCTCATCCTCCTCCCCCTCCTCGATGGGAGGATTCTCCCCGGGGGCGGCCGCTCGCCCGCGCTTCTTCCTGCCCTTTTTGGGGGCCCCTTTCTTGCGGCGCGCGTCAGGCGGCAGATGCGCGGACAGAGGGTGGTGGATGTGCAGCGAGGACTGCCGGTGGTCTGCGGGGTGGCGCGGGTGTTGGGGTGGCTGTCCCCGCCCCGCGCCCTCCCCCCCGCGCCCCGTACCCCACTCACACTCGAAGTCCTCCTCCCCGTAGATGCGCCCCGGCTCCTCCACGCTGCGCGGGTGCGCGTCGCTGAGGATCTCCTCGAAGCGCTCCACGCCCAGCGCCTTGTTCAGGTCCTTCTCCTCTTCCTCAGCCAGCGGTGGCGAAGCGGGGCCCGGCGCGGGCGGCTCGGGCTGCGGACGGGACGGGGCGGGGCTGGGCCGGGCCGGGTGCGCGCCACGGCTCCGTACGGTGCGGACGCCGCCACGGCCCTGCGGCACCGCGGGGAACGGACATCCCGCACGCCCCCACGGCACGGACACCCCCGTGGCACCCCCGGGTCCGCCACCCTCACCGCACTCCTGGACGCAGCCCTCCCCCGTGCCATCCCGGACACGGACGCCCCGCACGCCCCCGCGGCACCGCACGGCGCGCGCATCCCGCATACCACCGCGGCAGCCCCGGGCGCAGCCGCCCCGCGCAGCCCCAGGACCCCGCACCCGAAGGACGCGGCCCCGCGCCCCGCGTCCCCCCGGCTCCGCGCCCCACACCCCCGTGTCACCTCCCTGCGCCCGCACCGCCCCGGGACGGCTGCCAGCTGCAGGGTGCGGGTGTGGGCGCGGACGCGGGATATGGGGGCGGGGTGCGGGATGGGATTTGATTGCGGATGCGGGGTGCGGGCCGTACCTGAGTCATGGCGGAGCCCTCTCCCTCCGCAGCGCTCGCGGCGCTTTATCGGAAGGTCACGGCGGTGGGGGGGGGGCGGCGCGGGGGGCGGCGGCTCCGTCCCCCCCCTCGGCAAACACCCGCGGAGCCGCCCCGCTCTGCCTCAAGGTGACAGCGCAGAGGGCAGCGCAGCGCAGCAGCATCCCGGCCCCCCCTCCTCCCCTCCCTCCCCGGGCTGTGCTATGCGCGGCGCCGCCGGAATGCGCCCCCCCGGGCGGTGCGCGGCCCTCCGGAACGCGGCTCTGCCTCCGGCCGTGCCCGGATCCCGCTCGGGGTTTGCGCTGTCGAACCCCTCGTCACCGCCCGCTCCCTTCCCCCCAAGGTCTCCCCCGGGACGACCCCGCGGAGGGGGTGGCACGGCTGTAGGGCCGGCCCCCGCAGCCGGGGGGTTGGGGGGTGCCGCTGGCGCCCCGCCCCACAGCTCGGGACCCCCCCACGACGGCAGCCCCCAACTCCAGCAGCGTCCTCTCTGCCACACGGTCACCCCCCAGATCACCACTGAGGACCGGGGTGGCCCCATAGAGGTCCCAGGAGCCGACCCCCCCTTCAGCCCAGAGCCCCCCCAGCCTCCTCCCAGCCCTCTTCCCTTTGCTGCCCCATGACTCTCCTTGCCGTCCCCACCGGCGTGCACCCCGCCTGCGCCCCACGGGCGGTGCCACAGCTCCGGATCCCACAGCCCTCCTCAGGACGCCCCCCCCCCACCACATCCCCTGCCCCAGCGCTGAGCTCCGGCTGCGGTTACACCGAGGACCCCCCAGCAAACCCACCCCGCCTGGCCGGGACGCCGGCGCTGCGCCATCCCCACACCGGGTGGGCGATGCCGCAAAGCCCCCTGCACTCTGTCACCTGCAGGACAGCGCGGCCGGGCGGTGCGGGGTGCGGAGCAGCGCCTTACCGCGATGTGCAGGAGGAAATCCATGGTGGCACAGTGGCAGAGAAGGGGCGCAGAGCTGTGCCAACCACAGACCCATCCCCGGTCACGTGCCACCAACGCAGCCACGGTACGGGGACGGCGAGGGGTTAATCGTTAACCAAACAACTGCGGTCCATAAACCCGCCGAGCTGAGCACCCGGCACGGCATCGGCACAGCCGGCACCTGAGGGTACCCCTGCCCCACGGCTCAGCCTCACGGTGCTGCCCCATAACCGCACCGGGGCAGGTGCCGCGTGCCCGGATGGCAACCCTGGGGTGCATGGGAGGGCTGCGCAGCGCCACGTGCCGTGCTGTGCCACGCCGTGTGCTGCGCCGCGCTGACCCCCGCTGCCCCGTGCCGTGCCGTGCCGCCCCCCTCGATGCCGCGCTGACGCACGCCGTGCCGCGCCGTACCGGCGGTGCCGTGCCCCCACGCTGCGCCTCCGCCCCTCTCCCCGCCGCCCCGTGTGTGCACTCACGCTCTCGAAGGCGGAGGAGACGATGTGGTGCAGCTCGGAGGACACCGGGGAGCGGCTCATGGTGCCGTCGGGCGCAGCTCAGCCCTTCTCCTTCTCGCGGGGGCTCAGAGGGCGGTGTGGGCGCAGCATAACCTGCGGGGCACGGCGGGGTCGGTGCGGGTCTCCCGGTGCCGGCCCGGAGCCGCGGTCGGCGTCGCCTCGGGCTGACCCGGGGCCGGGGAGGGAAAGAAAACAGCGCTGCGGGCTGCGCCCCGCCGACGGCTCCGGGAGGGTTTGTGTTGGCCGCGGGGCCGAGCGTCGGGGCGGCGGCCAAGAGCAACGCCGGAGAGCGGAGCTTGGATGGGGCCCAGCGCCGCGGCGCGACCCCGACCGCGCACCCAGCCCCAGCCCCCAGCTGGACGCCACGGACGGCGCCGGTCCCCCCCCGACCCCCACCTGCCCCGGGCAGCTCCGCGTGTGCGGCGGAGCCCTCGGAGCTGCGGTTATTGCGGCCGGAGGTGGCCCCATGTGACGGCACAGACCGGGCGCAGGGATGACCGCGCCTCACATGGGTGCTCGTCATCGCCCCCCTCACCGCCGTGTGCCGGACGGCCTCCAAATCCCGCTCTTCACAGGAGTTTTCCTGACGCTGTGCCCATCGGCACGGGCAGGCACGGCACAGATAAGCACTGCTGCGCCTGCCGCGCCGCGCTTCCGTCCCATTCCGAAAGCATTGGCTGCAGTCGGGCTCTGGAGCCCAACCCCTGCACCAGCTGCTCCCTGCAGGCACCGCAGCTGCTGCTTCGCTGCACGGGTTGCAGCCTCCTGAACACCTGCTGGGCTGCGCAGAGCCGAGCCGGGCTGCCCGGGGCTCCACTGTGGGTAATAACATAGCGACCACCGCGGGGAGTTCTCTGAGCAAATCCACGGGGACCTCTGTGAGTACAGCCGTGGGGACGTCCACGGGGACAACATCCATAGGGACACCAACGGGAACATCACGGGAACATCGCCACCACCCCCATGGGCACCCGCTGCCGCCAGCCCCCAACCAGAGCCATCAATTCGGCAGTGCCACCGCAGCCGTGCAGGGAACACGGCCTCCTCGGGTGACCCCGCTGGAAACGGTGACGACGCCGGTGCCAGGGTGGCGACTGAGTCACCGTGAGCACAGCGGGGCAGAAGAGGAACCTCTCGCTCCGTGCCAGGAGAGGAACCGCGTGCGGGCTGAGTCAGGGGGCTTCCCGGAGCCCCCAGCCCAGGTGAGGAGCGCGCAGGGGGCGCGGTGCCCCCCCGTGTGCCGCCTTTCCCAGGCTCCCGGCGCGGCACAATGGGCTCTTGTTTGCGGGACCAATCCAGATAAGCAGGGCAGGTCCGCGATAGGGAGATAGCGCTGCCAACACCGCCGCGCTCCATTAATTACCTCCTGGCTCCGATTAGCGCCTGTGCGTGAGCCGGCTCTGCTGCCCCCGCCCCGCGCTGCCATGCATTCCTGGGGCCAGCCTCGACCTGCCCGCCTGATCCCGCCTAAGACGATTACAGGGCACCGTCCCGGCCGCCGCACCGCGCCCCGACGGGGCTGCGGCACCGCTGCGCCCGCACGGCCACGGCACCGCACCGGGGAGCGGAGCGGCACGCAGCGAGGGGACCCGCGGCCGGCAGCGCCACGTGGGCGCAGCACCCGCAATCGTCCTGCTGGAGCCCCGCAGCGAGGCCCTGTGGGCAGCACGCTCCCAAGAAGCATCTTCAGGTGCGCCATCCGCGTGCGTGCACCACTGCCGTGTGTGCCATCCTGTGTGCCATCCTGTGTGCCATCCTGTGTGCCATCCTGTGTGCCATCCTGTGTGCCATCCTGTGCGCCATCCCTGTGCCACCACTCCCGTGTGAGCGCCGTCCCCATGAGCACCACACACGCCCCAGGCTCACGCTGTTGTTTTGCACACATTGGTGCCCAGGAGACAGGGAGAAGCTGAGAGCCCCACAGCTGCCCCGCTGCTCGCCAGGCGCCCACACGGAGCTCTTCACATCCATCCACCCCCTTGGGGGCCGCCGGCGCCCATCCCCACATCCGGTGCCGCCGGTGCGGCACGGAGCGGCTCCGAGTGCCCCTGCGAGGAGCCGGGCACACCGCCACGTCCCGGCCCGGCTCACCCGCGGCTCCGCGCGGTCCCGGTGCCACCGCCGCCCCTTCCCGTGGCGGTGACCCGCGGGATGGATCGGCGCCGCCGCCCCCGGGCTCAGCCCCGCGGGGTTTTGTGCTGCGCGCTGCAACTTCAGAAACCGCCACCAAAAATATCGCCCGCCCCGCGGTGACCTCAAAGCCGTCGGGGCCAGGAAATGAATCACGGCGCCGCGCCGCGCCCCCGCGGGACCGAACCCGAATCCCCCTACGGGGACGCGGAACGGAGCCGCGGCTCAGCCCCACTCACCCCATCGCCCCGCGGTATCTCCGCGGTTCCGGGGCTTTGGCCGCCGCCGTCCGTCGATCCGTCCGCGCCGCTCTCCGCCCCGCGGGGCTCTTATAGCGGTGCGCGCGGAAGAAGAGTGGCGGCGACGGAGCGCGGCGGAGCGCTTTGTTCCATCCCAACGGCGGCGGTGCCAACTCCGAAGCGCTCCGCCGCGGCCACACCTCCGTGCGGCGGGCGGGGGGGCACGGCCGGGGGCTCTCCCGGCTGGGAAGGGGGAGGGCGGGTCGGGGTCACAGCCCGGTTCGGAGCGGGGGGCGGCCCAGCTTTAATAGCGGTGCTGTGTAAGGAGCGCCGCCCGCCCCCCCGCAGCCCCGCCGGCACCGCCCCCCCCGAGTCCTGCGGGAGGGGGGTGGGAGGAATGGAGGAAGTGCTCCCGGTGCCCCGCAAAGAGCGAAAGCGCGTCTCGGTGCCCGGTGGGCCGCCCGGAGCCGCGGAACGACCCCGAGGGTCCGCCCCGCCCGCACCGAACGGAGTCCCGGTTGTGCTGCCCCGCATCCCCCGTCCCGCACCCGAGCACCACCATGGCGGGCAGAGCGGGGCCGCCCGTGCCGTGTGCCGGGTTGGCCCCGCGGAGCCGCGGCACCGAGCTCCGCACCGTCCCGCCTTCGTCTCTTACCGGGGTTCCGGGCGCGGCGGGAGGCTCGGCGGGGCGGGGCCGGGTGGAGCGGGGCGGATTCCGGAAGCCCAAACGGGCACAGCCCCGCGCAGGAGCGGGGAGCGAACACCGAACCCGGAACCGCACCCGGAACCGCCCGGCGGCGGCGGCGGGGATCGAACCGCCGGCCGGATGAGTGGAGTGGGCGGGGCCAAGGGAGGGAGGGACCGATAGGGGCGGAGCCAAGGGAGGGGCGGAACAGAGCACGAGGGCGTGGTCACAGAATGGGCGCGTCCGGGGCGGGGCTACTGGGGTGTAGCGGAAAAGGCGGGACTTCCGGGGTGACCGGGAGGTTTGGCGGAAGTCGAGGAGCTGCCGGGAGGTGTGGCGGAAGAGGCGGGGCCGGGGCGCTGGGCCCGGAGCGGAGCGGAGCGATGCAGAAGTACGAGAAACTGGAGAAGATCGGGGAAGGTGCGGCCGGAACCGGACCGGGACAGCGGGGCGGGAGGGGCGGTGACCGGGCCGGTTGGCGGCGGGGCGCCGTTATCGGTGTGTCCCGTTAACGCTGCGCCCCTGACTCGGCCGCCCGCCCGCCCGCAGGCACCTACGGGACGGTGTTCAAGGCCAAGAACCGGGAGACGCACGAGATCGTGGCGCTGAAGCGGGTGCGGCTGGACGATGACGACGAGGTGAGGGGAGCTGCGTGGGGCCGGGCCGCGCCGAGCCCCTCCGGGCCGAGCCGAGCCGTGCCGTGCCGTCCCGCAGGGCGTTCCCAGCTCGGCGCTGCGGGAGATCTGCCTGCTGAAGGAGCTGAAGCACAAAAACATCGTCAGGTGAGACCTGCGGGCGGTGCTCCCTGCTCGGCGCCGGCCCGCTGCTGACGCCGCTCCCCGCAGGCTGCACGACGTGCTGCACAGCGACAAGAAGCTGACGCTGGTCTTTGAGTTCTGCGACCAGGTGAGCGGGGCGCTGCGGCCCCGGGTCTCCTCCAGCCGTGCCCTCATGGCCGCCTCCCCCCCCTGCAGGACCTCAAGAAGTATTTCGACAGCTGCAACGGGGATCTGGACCCTGAGATCGTGAAGGTGCGGGGTGTGGGGGGCACAGCCCTCTCTTCTCTCTTTCCCTCTCTGCTCTGCCCTCGTGGGGCCCCATCTGCAGCGCTGTGCCCAGGTCTGGGGCCCCCAGTACAAGAAAGACAGGGAGCTGTTGGAGAGGGTCCACAAAGAGCCACAAAGATGCTCAGAGGCTGCAGCACCTCCCTACAAAGACAGGCTGAGGGAGCTGGGCTTGTTCAGCATGGAGAAGAGAAGCTGCGGGGTGACCTCAGTGCAGCCTGCAGTGCCTGAAGGGAGCCTGCAGCCAGGAGGGGAGTCAGCTGTGTGCAAGGGGAGATGGCAGCAGGACGAGGGAAATGGTTTGGAGCTGAGGGAGGGCAGCTGGAGGTTGGATGTGAGGGGAAGTTGTGTGCTGTGAGAGCGGGGAGGGGCTGGAACAGCTGCCCAGAGAGGCTGTGATGCCCCGTCCATCCCTGGAGGTGTTGGAGGCCGGGTTGGATGGGGCCCTGCACAACCTGACCTACTGCTTGATCCAGTGGCAGCAGGGGGTTGGAGCTTCGTGATCCTTGGGGTCCCTTCCAACCTGGGCCGTTCTGTGATGCTGTCGTTTTGGGGTGGTGGTGGCAGTGGCGCTGTGCTGATTCTGGGCTGTGCTCTCCTCAGTCCTTCATGTACCAGCTGCTGAAGGGCCTCGCGTTCTGCCACAGCCGCAACGTCCTGCACAGGGACCTGAAGCCGCAGAACCTCCTCATTAACAGGGTGAGTGCTGGGCTGGGGGCTCACACCGGGCCCCCCTTTGCCCCTTGGGGTCCCCTTGGTGCTCCCCCAGCCCCCGACCCCTTTGTCTCACTGCAGAACGGGGAGCTGAAGCTGGCAGACTTCGGCCTGGCTCGAGCTTTTGGCATCCCGGTGCGCTGCTACTCAGCAGAGGTGAGGAGGGGGCTGCTGGGTGCACCCGAGGGTCCCGGCCCTCGCCCTCCCCTCCCCAAGCATCCCTTCTGCCCCTTGTGCCCCACGCAGGTCGTCACGCTGTGGTACCGCCCCCCCGACGTGCTGTTTGGAGCCAAGCTGTACTCCACCTCCATCGACATGTGGTCGGCCGGCTGCATCTTTGCAGGTAGCCGTGGGGCCGGGAGGCTGCGGGACGCGCGGGGCGGCCATGGGGGCCTCACGCCATCCCTGCGCAGAGCTGGCCAACGCGGGGCGGCCGCTCTTCCCGGGGAACGACGTGGACGACCAGCTGAAGAGGATCTTCAGATATCCTTTGGGAGCCGCTGCTACCGGGGGGGAGAGGGGTGAGGGCGAAGCCTCGCGGGGCCCCGCGCGTCCCGCAGCTCCCCGTGGCCCTTGACAGCCCCGCACGCTGCTGGGCACCCCCACGGAGGAGCAGTGGCCGGCCATGGCCAAGCTGCCTGACTACAAGGTGAGGCTCGGGGGGCACGGTGGGGCGGGGGGGGGCAGCGCGGGGCCGGGCGCTCACGACCGTCCCCAGCCCTACCCCATGTACCCCGCCACCACCTCCCTGGTCAACGTGGTGCCCAAGTTGAACGCCACCGGCCGGGACCTGCTGCAGGTGAGCCGGGGTGCCGGGGGGCTTTCCTGTATCCCGCCGTGGGGAGGGGGCTGCTGTGGGGCCCTCAGCATCGCCCCCGTGCCGTCCCCAGAACCTGCTGAAGTGCAACCCGGTGCAGCGGATATCGGCGGAGGAGGCCCTGCAGCACCCCTACTTCACGGACTTCTGCCCCCCCTAAAAACCCACCCGGAGCCGTGGGGGCAGCAGGGGGGGTGGGGGGGACGGGACCAAGCACCCCGTGCCCCCCCGCCCCCCCCCCCACCCGCTATTTATTAGGATTTTAACCCAGCGCCGCCCCGGGCTGCCCGCGTGCCGAGCCGGGGCCGAGCCGTGCCCCCCCCGTGCCGGTGTAGCTGTAGGATGGGGGGCCGGGCCCCGCAGCCCCCCCAGCCCTGGTGGCGGTCGGGGTCCCCCGGAGCTGGCCCCAGGGGTCGCCCGTTTCCCGACCGCGCTGTCCGTGGCTGCGACGCGTCTTTGTTACCGATATAAAGAGCTTCCCTCCCCCCACGCTGCTTCCTTCCCTTGTGCCGCTATGGGCTGCGCCAGCCGCGTCCCCCCCGGAGCCGGCAGTGTGGGGCAGGGCTTTATTGGTGCGAGGCGCGACGTACAGCAGGGCGCGGGGACGAGCAGCGCATGCGGGGATGCGGAGCGGAGACCTTGCAGCCCCCCGGCACCTGGCTTCCGTCCCAGGGCAGGGGCTGCTCCCCAGCGGACACCCCGGCCGGCCGGGGGTGTGGGGCCGGGCCCCTCGGTAGGAGAATTCCTCGGGGCGCCTACAGCCGAGTGACGAGGTAGCAGGAGCGGGGCGAAGGTGACACCGTCCGCGTGGCCGCGCGGGGCCCGAGGGGCGTCCTGCAGCGCGGAGGGGCGGTGAGCGGGGCGGCCGAGCTCCTGGGCCGCTTCCCTTCCCGTCCCGCCGCCGCCCCGTGGGGTCACGCGAAGCCGGAGCTCCAGGCTGTGCCGTGCTGGGCGCCCCCGTGAGCCGCGAGCCCGGAGCGGTGATGCAGGAGGCGGCCCGCGCTGCCGCCGCGCCCGGGGGGGGGGGGGGTTGGGATGCGTGGCGGGGGCGACGCGGCCGCCCCACGGGTGAAGGCGGGGATGAGCGGCCGTGGGGGTCCCCGCCGCCGTCTTTGCCCCGCGCCCCCCGGCTCCCCACGTGTCTACCTGGGTGGGAGCGCGGCGGCGGGGCTGCCCGGCACGGCGGGATGCTCCTGGTGGGCGGGCGGACGGAGAGGAGATGATGAGCGGTGATGGGCGGCGATGGGTGGGATGAGGTGGGGGGGGCCGGGGGGGTTACCAGCGTGGTGCCGCTGCCGCGCCGCATCCGCTTCTTGTCCTTGTAGAAGCCGACGAGTTTGTCCCGGAACACCTGGGGGGCGACGGGGTCGGTGCTGCCGCCCGCGGTGGGGCTGAGCTGAGGGGCGGGGGGGGGGCTCACCTCGTACAGGTAGTCGAAGATCTCCAGGATGGTCAGCAGGCTGGCGCCGATGAAGAGCCCCATCTGCCCCCCGATGTCCCCCAGCAGCCCCGCCACCTCGTACGCCTTCTTCTGCTCGATCATCTCGTAGTTGAGCGCCTCAAAGAAGATGTCCAGCACCAGCACGTTGTCCCTGCGGGGGGTGGGAGCGGGGCGGGGGGTGCCGAGGTGGGGGGGGGGGCTGCACCGCGCTGCGGTGTGCCGTGCGGGGGGGCTGAGTGCTCTGTGCGTGCTGGGGGTTGGGCCGTGCCGTGCAGTGCCATGCAGTGCCGTGCTATGTGGCAAAGCGTGCATTTGTGCATCAGGAGGGCTGTGCCATGCGGGGCTGTGCTGCTCAGATGGCGGGGAGGCACTGGCACAGGCTGCCCAAGGAGGCTGTGGATGCCCCATCTCTGCAGGCATTCAAGGCCAGGCTGGATGTGGCTCTGGGCAGCCTGGGCTGCTGGTTGGCGACCTGCACACAGCAGGGGTTGGAGCTGGATGAGCATCGTGCTCCTTTGCAACCCAGGCCGTTCTGTGAGTCTATGCCATGCTGTTCTGCAGCGTGCCAGGCGCACAGCAGCACCGCGGGGGCCGTGCCGTGCCGTGCCGGGGGTCCGTGGCCGCCCCCCACCGCCCCAAACCCCACTCACGCGATGTATTGCTCGGTCTTGTTGAACTTCTTGGCGAGGTACCGCGCGGAGGCTTTGCTGGGGATCTTCACCATGGAAAGCTCTTTCCCGTAGCGCACGGTGTCGCAGGGCGTGCGGCACGCGCAGTACTCGCTGTCCTTCTTCACCAGGAAATCTGCGCCGGGGGACGGCGGTGTCGCGGCCGTCCCCCCCCCCCCCCCCCTCCCCGCCCCCTGCCTCCCCCTCCCGCCCCTATCGTGCCCCACACGTACCCAGCGCGGGGTCGGCGCACTCCTTGTACTGCTCCGGCGTGCAGACGTTGGCGTTGCCTACGGGGGGACGCGGCGCTCGTGGGGCGCGGGGGAGGCCGACCCCCTCCCCGACCCCCGGCCCCGCTCACCGGGCATGTGCACCATGCGGCAGTTGCAGTTCTCGGCCAGGTAGCGCGTCTCGCAGTCCAGGCGGCAGGCGGTGAGGCTGTAGTTGGTGAAGAAGTCGGACTCGATGGGGGTGGCCTTGCAGTCCCCCCAGGGCGGTGGCAGATACACCAGCTGCCGGCTTGGCTAAGGAAAACACGCGGCGCCCGCTGCCCCCCCGTGCCACCCCCCGTGCCGTGCCGTGCCGCGCCACCTCGGCGCCGGATACCCGCTGCTGCTGGCACGACACGAAGGTCTGGAAGCCGGGTGCCACGCCGAAGCCCAGCTGGTCGATGAAGGGCGGCTCCTGCTGGCTGTGGATCTGCACCTTCACCCCCGCCTCGTACGACGTCTCGTCTGCAAGCAGCGCGGGTCTGGGGCTGCGCGGGGCGGCGCGTCGCGCTCCCCTCCCCGCGGGGCGGCCGCCTCACCCGTGTCCCCCCAGACGGGCAGGTATTCCTCCTGCTGGATGTTGAGCATCAGCTCCAGCCCGTTTCCCGCGCCGCCCTGCAGCGTGGTCAGCAGCTCCGTGCCCGGCTGCCCCGAGTTGAAGGTGTAGCACTTGCCCAGGCGGGTGAAGATCTGCGGGGTGGGACAGGGGCGGCTGCTGGGAGGCGGTGAGGCGGAGCAGGGCGCGGTGGGGCAGGGAGGCGCCTTTCCCCACCGGCAGCCCCATAGCGCCGTGCCCTCGCTGCGGGGTGCGGCTGGACACCGCCGTGCGGGGCTCCCGGGAACCCGGCGCTGCAGCCCCACGTTGCAGCATCGCCACAGGTGCAGGCGGGGAAGAGGAGCCGTCCCACACGGTGCCGTGGGTGCTGGGAGTCAGAGAGGCAGGCGGCACCGTGCCCCACACCGCCCCCCCGCGCACCCACGGTCTGTACATCCCGACCCGCACCTGCCATCGTCACCTACAGCCCGTGCATCCCATAGCAGACGCCCCGCCGCCCCTAAACCGCCACGTCCCATAGCCGTGCCGGCGCCGCACCTCCCGCACGTGCCGTCACCCCAAAGCTGCCCATCCCCACCTCCCGCCCAACCCCGCTCAAGGCGGATGGGGATGGGAGCAGGGCTGGTGCGGGGCCGAGCGGCGCACAGCAGGGCCGTAGCAGCGGTGGCCGCGCCGGTGCCGGTGCCGGTGGTGGCACTCACGGCGGCGAAGTTCTCAGGGCCGCACTCCCGGCGTGCCGGTAGAAGGCAGCCGGGTCGTAGCTCTTGCCGGGGAAGAACCCACGGAGGTCGTGGGGCCGCCGCAGAGCCCGCAGGTAGCGGGAGAAGTCGCGGCCCGGCACGGACAGCAGCTCGGCTCCCGACCAGAGCACGTCGGCGGCGGTGAGCCGCGAGCGCCGGGCGCGGTTGTGGTTGCGGAGGGGGACGGCGGGGAAGGCGAGCGCGCGGCTCTCGGCCTCGTCCAGCGCGGCGATGCGGGGCTACGCGCCGTAACGCCCCGTGCGCTCCCCCGAGTGCGGCAGGAAGGCGCCCGGCGAGGCCGCGAAGGCTCCGGCCCACAGCAGGCGGTGCGGGGTGGCAGCGCCGGGCACGAAGACGTGCCGCAGGCCGTGCGGGAGCAGGAGCGGGCGAAGGCCGCCAGCCCGGGGGCGCCGCGAGCGCCGGTACCCGGCACCGCCGCCATGGTGCGCCGGGCGTCCTGCGGCACGGCTCTGCAGGGGGATCGGCCTTCGGGCCGGGCCGTGGGGACGCGGGGACGCGGGGACGCGTGAGCGGGCGCAAAGCGCGGCGGCGCTCAGCCGGCACCGACGTCCGGCGGGACCCCGGCGCGCGCGGAGCGGAACGGCGGCATCCGAGGATCCCGGCACCGAAAGCCCCGGCCCCGCTGCCGGCTCTTAGCGCCAAAACCCCGTCCTGACCCCGTCCCGTAGGGCGAGGGACCCCGCGGAGCACCCGGCGGCCCTCCTACAGGGGCAGCACCGGGGGCTGTTGGCAGCCCAGCCGTCAGCCCGGAGCCGCACGTGGCCGCGCGCCCCCCCGTGCCCCCGTCCTGCCCCACATGGGGGGAGGGGAGGGAGCGGCTGCTGCGGCAGCGGAGCTCCCAAAGAGGGGAGCGGTTGCCATGGCAACGCTGCCCATCGCGCGGGGAGGTGGCTGCCATGGCAACCGGCGGCCCAGCACCAGGATGCGCCAGGGACCGCGGGAGGGGGGGACGGGGATGTGCCCCCGCACCGAGCGTCACCCACCCCACACCGGGAGCCCCACGCACGCCCCACCGAGTGGCTGCGGACCCGGCCCGGGCTGGGGCATCTGCCACATGTGGGGTGCACGTGGCACAGCCTTTGTCACTGTAACAGAGCCCGGCACAGCTCGGGGCCCAGCTCACCCTGCTCAGCCACGCACCGCGCCGTGCTTTTGGCCACTGAGTCGCACACGGAGGTCGGGGGGGGAGGGGGGCACGGCCATGTGCCCTATGGAAGCCCTGCCTCCAGGGCTCCACGTGTTCTGCTGCACTCTGGAACCCGGGGGAGGCAGAGAGCAGCAGCCCTGAGTGCGTTGGCACAGGGGAACGGGCGGTGGGAGCCCGGCTCAGCTCCCAGCCCCGAGGGGGGTGGGGGGGTCACTCACACGGAGATCATTTCCTGCTCTGAGAGCCTCGTGCTGGCTGCTGTGATGGGGGTCGTGCAGTGCAGGACACGGTGCTGCCCCACTGAATGCCTCTGTGGGGTGTTTGTGCCCTGTGCCCACCATCCCCGTGTCCCCACACAGAACTGAGGGTCCCAGCGCCCGTCCCTGGGGGCAGAGCACGGCCACCGTGCGGCCCTTCAGCACACACAGAACCTCTGGCACACTGTGGGGCATGGCGGTGGGTGGGGGGCAATGGCACGGAGGGGACACGGAGCCACGGGGACTGGAGCTGTGGGACCCTGAGTGCAGGCAGAGCTTTGGGGGCTGAGCGGAGGCACAGAGCCCAGCACCCGCAGGTGGGTGTGGGGGGGGGGGCACCGCCGGATGGCACCCAGCACCCAAACCGCCAGTGGGATTCAATGGGGGCGATGGGGATGGAGCAACCCACAGCCCTCCGGTACCAAATCCCCCTGCGTCCTGTGTGACACCCGTGGCCACGAGTGGGACCCCTTGCATTGGTGCCCATGGCCACAACGCAGAGCAGTGGGGTCACAGTGTGGCCCTTGGGCACACACACAGCGTCCAGCAGCAGGCAGGCAGCGCCAGCACCGGGAGGGGTGGCAGCAAAGGGGACACGGAGCCACAGGGAGTGGAGCAGCGTTGGCACAGTGCAAAACCTGGGGGTGGGCACAGGATGGGGGCACCGCCGGACGGCACCCAGCACCCAAACCACCCGCGGGGTGCGACGGGAGAGACGGGCACGGAGCCCGCAGGGGCCCCGCGGGGCCAAATGGCGCCGCGCTCAAATGCAATGGGAGGGACGGGGCCGGAGCTCACGGCACCCTCCAGCGCCGCGTCCCGCCTGCCCAGCCCCACGGCGGCGCTGCCCGGCCCCACACTCACCACGCTGAAGTTGCGTGCGGAGCAGCCGGCGCCGCGGAAGGAGCACTGCAGCAGCATGTCGGCCAGGTCGTGGCCGGTGCGGTTGTAGAACTCGGCCATGCTGAAGGGTTTGGCCTTGAAGTTCTTGAAGTTGGCCTTGTCGCGCAGCGCGGCCAGCACGGCGGGCTCGGCCAGCTGCGGGTTGCTGATCTCGTAGCGCTCGTTGAGCAGCGCCAGCAGCTCTCCCACGTGGTACATATCGTTGCGGGTGATCTTGGAGAAGCGGAACTCGTTGAGGTTGCAGATGGTGATGGCCGGGAAGGTGAGGTTGTGCGCGGCCACCTCGTCCAGTTTGGTGACGTGCGGGTAGGTGAGGAAATAGGCGACGCGCTCGGCGCACACCAGCAGCAGCAGCCCCAGCGCGCCCAGGAAGAAGGCGCCCCACAGCGCCCGGCGCAGCGCCGCTCCGTACGCGAAGATGTGGCTGATGCCGTGCAGCGACGAGCTGGAAGCGAACGCCCGCAGCCGCGACCGCGGCTCCGCGCCCCCCGCGCCCTCCCCGCCGCCCCTCATGCTGCCGCTCGCCCCCGCCCCATCGCCGCCGGAGGGACCGCCCCGGCCCCAAACCCGGCCCCGGAGCGCCCGCGGCCACCGGGATGCGGTTGCGGCTGCGCTGCCCGCGGGTTTCCCGCAGCGGGGGCGCGGTGCCCACCCTCCCTTCCCCGGTCCGCCGCCTTCCGCCGGGGGTGCGGGGTGGGAGCTCCGGGAGGGGCCGCGCCGGGCTCCTCCCGCCCCCCCGGGCGGCGATGACGGGAGGGGTGGGGGCGCAGCCCCGTCCCTACGCTTCGTCCCCGGCTTGGAGCAGAGGGACTCCAGGGGGCCCCCCAGAGGGACCGAACCCGTCCCCACCCGGGAGCGGAGACGGGGCGACCCGGGGGTCCCGCTGCCGCAGAGCCCGGTGCCGGGCGGGGTCCCCCCGCGGGTTGGGATCCCGCTGCCTCCGCTCGGGGCACCACTGCCCGCATCCCCACCCGGGGGCTCGAGAGGCTCCGGTACCGCCGTGCCCTGCGGGGAAGGGGCTGGGATGGGGGAGATGCGGCAGCGGATGGCGTAGCGGCTCCGGGACCACCGCTGGGGACGGCGATCCTCTCCCGAGGAGGGCAGCTTTGGTGCGTGGGCACAACGCGGGGCTGTGGGGGCACACGGCGCGACCCCCACCCCGGCGGTGCCGCAAAGCGGCGTGGAACTCCACCGTTCCCAACTGCCCCCATCCGCATCGCCAACCCCACCTCCCCGCTCCTATGGGGTTCCCCTCCCCACAGCCCGGCCGTACCCCGCCCCCTCCCCCTGCTCCCGACGCCGCACAGCTCAGCACACGCCCCGCTCGGTTCCGCCGTTTATTCCGCTCCGCGCCGCTCCGCCGCCTGCTGCCGCATCAGCTGCGCGTACAGCCCGCCGCGCCGCAGCAGCTCCTCGTGCGTGCCGACCTGCGGGGCGCTCACTGCCAGTCCCGCCCCACAGACCGCCCCACTCGGAACCGACCCCCAACCCCCCGCAACCCCCGCCTCCTCCCAATCCCCTCCCATCGCGGCTCAGACCCCTCCCCGCCGATCCCCACCCCCCATCGAAGCCCCCCCCCCTCCCACCGGCCCACCCCGCCGGAGCCTCCCCTCCCCCCCCCCCCCCCCCGTCCCGCTCACCTCGGCCACGCGTCCTCCCGCCAGCACCACGATGCGGTTCGCCCCCCGCACGGTGCTCAGGCGGTGCGCGATGAGCAGCACCGTCCGACCCCGCGCCGCCTTCTCCAACGCCGCCTGCACCGCGCGCTCCGCCTCCGCGTCCAAAGCGCTCGTGGCTTCGTCCAGCACCAACACGGCCGGAGCTTTCAGCAGCGCCCTCGCTAAAGCCACGCGTTGCCGCTGCCCTCCGGACAGCGCCGCTCCGCGCTCGCCCACCACGGTGCCGTAACCGTCGGGGAAGGCGCGGATGAAGGCGTCGGCGTCGGCCAGGCGAGCGGCCTCGAACACCTCCTCGTCCGAGGCGTCCGGTTTGCCGAAGCGGATGTTCTCCATGATGGTGGTGCCGAACAGCACCGGCTCCTGCGGGGCGGCCCCGCGCTCAGCGCTGCCCCGGCCGGGCTGGACGGACTCCCCCCCCCTCCCCGCACCTCCCCGCACCTGGCTGATGAAGCCGATGACGCGGCCGCGCAGCCACGAGGGGTCCAACGAGGCGATGTCGCGGCCGTCCAACGTGATGGTGCCCCTTGTGGGCTCATAGAAACGCTCCAGCAGCGCTGCCACCGTCGACTTCCCTGTGCCAAAGCATCAGCGCCGTGACATCACCACGGTGACCCTGGTGCCACATCACCGCGGCCCCATCCGGCACCGTGGGATCGGTGCCCCCCATGGTTGCATCCCCCTGGGGCCGCCACGGCCACCTCCCTCTGGTGGCACCGGGCTCCACGTCCCCATCGGCCCCGACGCTGCGGGGTCACGGCGCCGTGCCACAATGGGGGTCCCACACTCTGAGTGTCACCTCCTCCCGAGGGTCCCACGACGGCCACCGTCTCACCGGGGGGCAGCGTGAGGCTGAAGTCCTGCAGCACGGGATGCCCGGGGCGCGTGGGGTAGCTGTGGGGGGAGGCGAATGAGGGGCCGTGGGGCAGATCGGTGGGGCAGGGGGAGGGCTGGGAGGGCCTGACCTGAAGGAGACGTGCTTGAAGGCGACGTGGCCCAGCAGGGAGTGGCTGGGGATGGTGTCCCCCCCCCGCAGCGGCACTTGGGGCTCCAATGTCATGAACTCAAAGACACGGGCGCCAGCGCTCAGCCCACGAACCACCTGCAATGGGGGGGGGACAGAGGCAGATGGAATCTCCATCCCCATCCCATCCCCATCCCATCCCCATCCCCATCTCCATCCCCCATCCCATCCCCATCCCCATCCCCATCCCCATCCCCATCCCATCCCCATCCCATCCCCATCCCCATCCCATCCCCATCCCATCCCCATCCCCATCCCATCCCCATCCCCATCCCATCCCCATCCCCATCCCCATCCCCATCCCATCCCCATCCCCATCCCATCCCCATCCCCATCCCATCCCCATCCCCATCCCCATCCCCATCCCCATCCCCATCCCCATCCCATCCCATCCCCATCCCCATCCCCATCCCATCCCCATCCCCATCCCCATCCCATCCCCATCCCCATCCCATCCCCATCCCCATCCCATCCCCATCCCATCCCATCCCCATCCCCATCCCATCCCCATCCCATCCCCATCCCCATCCCCATCTCCATCCCATCCCCATCCCATCCCCATCCCATCCCCATCCCCATCTCCATCCCCATCCCATCCCCATCCCCATTCCATCTCCATCCCCATCCCATCCCCATCCCATCCCCATCCCCATCCCATCCCCATCCCCATCCCCATCTCCATCCCCATCTCCATCCCATCCCCATCCCATCCCCATCCCCATCCCATCTCCATCCCCATCCCATCCCCATCCCCATCCCATCCCCATCTCCATCCCATCTCCATCCCCATCCCATCCCCATCCCCATCCCATCTCCATCTCCATCCCCCCCTCCCTGGAAGCTGGGATCCTTCAGGATCCCCCCTACCTGCCCGAAGAGGATGGAGATGTTCGCCAAGGACCTGCAGGCACATGGCTGAGCTTAGGATGAGGTGCAATGGGGGGAAGGACATTGGGGATGATAGAGCTGTGATGTGGGGGGGTGACATGGGAAGGTGACACCAACCTCTGCACCGTCTGTGAGGCCACCAGGAACGACATGAGGTCACCAGGAGAGAGCTGAGCCCCGGCCATCAGCGACCCACCCACAAAGATGGTGCCCAGCACAATGCCTGTGGGTGCATGCTGCTCGTGGGGCTGCCCCACAATAAGCCCAGGACCCAGTAGGGCCTGCCTCCCCGATAGGTTCTGCCCCCCAAAAAAGGTCCTGTCCCCCAGAAAAGGTCCTCAGCCCCTCAAGAGGTCCTGCCACCCCAATAGGCCCCACCACCCCAATAGGCCCCGCCACCCCAAAAAGCTTCTGACCCCCCCAATAGTTCTTGGCCCTCAATACGTCTTGGCTCCCAATGCCCCCCCACCCAGGTCCTGTAACCCTAATAGATCTTCATCCCCCCAATAGGTTCAAAAAAAGTCCTCAGCTCCTCAAGAGCTCCTGATCCCTTCAATAGGACCAGCCACCCCAATATGGCCTGCTCCCCAATAGGTCCTGCCACCCCAATACACCCCCCCAGTATGTCCTGACCCCCCAGTAGGTCTTGGCCCCCGATGGGTCAGGCCCCCCCAGTATGTCCTGACACTCCTAATAGACCCTGCCACCCCAAAATGTCCTCCCCCCCCCCAACGAGTCCTGCCACCCCAATAGGTTCTACCACCCCAAAAATGTCCTGACCCCCCCAATAGTTCTTGGCCCCCAATAGCTCATGCTCCCTCAACAGGCACTGCCCCCCCAATTTGCCCTGAGCCCCCAAAAAGATCCTCAACACCTCAAGAACCCCTGATCCCCCCAAGAGCTCCTGACCCCCCCCAATAGGCCCTGCCACCCCAATAGGTTCTACCCCCCAATAAAGGTCCTCACCCCCTCTTTAAGTCCTGCACACCCCCAGCAGCTCCAGACCCCCTCACTGGGGTCTCCTACCCCAATAGGTTCCGCTCCTCCAATAGGTCTTGACCCCCCCCAATCTGTTCTGCCACCCCAAAAAGATCCCGACCCCCCCCCCGTAGTTCTTGACCCCGATAGGCCGTGCCCCCCAACAGGTCCCGACCCCCCCAACAGGCCCTGCCCCCTCGGTGGGTCCCACATCCCTGCGACGCTCAGCGCCTCCCCCTGCTGACCGTTCAGCGCCAGGTTTGACAGCCCCTGGAAGGCGGCGATGCCCAGCCCCAGCCGTTGGCTCATCCTGCTGGAGCGCTCTGCCTCGGCGCAGTACAGCCTGCAGAGATGGGGGGGGGATGGTGGCACTGAGGAGGAGGGGGGGAAAAAGGGGAGGGGGGGGTGTGGGGGGCAACCAGCCGGAGCTCCCCACGGCCGCACCGCCATCCTCACCCCGCCTGCTGCTCCTCCATGGCGAAGGCGCGCACGGTTCGCACGTTGCCCAGCACCTCGTCGGCCACCCCGGTGGCTTTGGCCACCTGTGCCAACAAGGGGGACGTGGCTGCGCACCGCTGGGCACCGCAGGGACGGGGGGGGGGGTCCCTACACATCCCCCCATCCCCCCCAAAGCCATTACCTGTTCCTGTGCCTGCCGGGACAGCGCCCGCAGCACGGAGCCCAGCGCGGTGCCGGCACCCACCAACACGGGCAGCACCAGCAGCAGCAGCGCCGTGAGCCGTGGGGACAGCAGGTACAGGGACAGCACACAGCCTGCAGCCTGGGTGCTGCTGCGCAGGCCCTGCGGGGGGGGGGGACACGGTGATGGGGCTGGGGGAGGCGCTGGGGGGTCCTGAGGAGGGAAGTGGGGGGCGCAGCGCCGGGCCCCACCTGTGAGATGATGAGCTTAAAGGAGGATTTGAACTCCTGCACGTCGGCTGTGAGCCGTGCCACCAGCTGCCCCGTGCGGTGAGCATCGAAGAACGCCACGTCCTGCCTGGGGAGGGGGGCTGCAGCCACTCTGCTGCCCTTTCCCCCCCCCCCCCAAGTGCCCCTCATCCCCACACGTCCCCCATCTCGCTCTCCGTGTCCCCTCTGACCCTGTGTCCCCGTGTGCCCCCCGACCCGGTGTCCCCCCACATCTCCACACCCCCCGCTCCACATGTGCCCCCATCCCCTCTGTCCTCACATCCCCCCAGCTCCGCACCCTCTGTCCTTCTGTCCCACATGTCACCCCTGTCCCTATGTCCCCCTGTCCTCATTTGACCCCCGTCCCCCCGTCCACCCCACCTCCGTGTCCCCATTTCCACTCCGCCTCCCATATCCCTGCTGCTGCCAACCGTCCCCACGTCCCCCCATCTCCACGTCCCCCTTGTCTCCATGTCCCCCAACCCCCCCCCCTCCCCGTGTCCCCTTTCCCCCCGTCCCTCTGTGCCCCCGCACGCCCGCCCTACCGCAGCAGAGACACAAAGAGAGCTTTCCTCATGCTGGCAGCCACCTGCTCCCCAACGCGGGACAGCAGAGCGATGTACCCGAAGGTCAGCAGCGCCTGTGGGGCGTGGGGTCAGCGTGTGGGGCCGGGCTGTGGGTCGGGGTGTGGGTCTGGGGGGTGCCCACCTGCAGGCTGTAGAGGCCGAGGAGGCGC